ACGGCCAATGTTCACTTGTGACAGAAAATAAGCTCATCTAGCCTTTCTTGCCCTTAAAGGTTCCAAGTAGATGTCCTGCACAGAAACGAAATCTGCTGGGGACATCCACGTGCATGAAGGCGTTGAGGAGTCGGGCGAGGTGAGGCTCTCTCCACAAGTGGAATTCACCGACATGCATTGAAATGTGCATTAACAACAATCCTCCTACTGCCAAGACACAAATTATTCCCACTCCAGCCAATTGTACACACTTTGTGTCTTAATTTATGTGTGTGTAGTTGATGGTAGCTGCATTTATTAACTTGGAAGCATTCAGCCTTTAAAGACTTAACAATTGAATGGGAAATCAGCGTTTTTATGCACTATAACTTGGCAAACTTCGATACTAGTGAACTAAATGAAAGAAAGTGACACCTGTGAGATTATCTTTTCAGAATGAGGAAGGAGAGAGAGTTACTGCCTTCCTCCTGTTCGCATCCCCTGTGTATCTCCAATAGATGTTAAGAATCTCTTAACGTCACTTACCATTTGACAATCACGCGACACCAATAGCAGTTAAGAGGGTGGGAAAAGTGGGATGGCAACAAGTTTGCATGAGTCTGGATCCTTCTTCATTTCTAGGGGCAGAAAGCAGTTGTGGCACCTCATTTGGCTGAATATGTCATTCTCTTCATGCAATTACGATGAGGTCAATTTGAACAGGTGGATTGGGCGACATCTCTGACAGAGCCAAAGGTACGCTGTTTCGGAGAGGTCGCACAAGAATTAACCCACCGTGACGTGCTTCAAAAGTAGTCACATCGTTCATTAAAGCCTTTGTGTGCGTGAGAGTGGATATGACACCAGAATGCTATCCACAATGCTGGCGGCCCCAAATACTCTTGGTAAAAGGTCCGCATACACCTTTCACCTGCGTGTTTGTATTATATTCTCTGTCAGTATTCTGAAAATCCGGTGTGCCTATATCACCGCTTCTGTCACAGTGTTAGTGATGCCACTTGCTGACGTCACAAAGTTAACCAGTTTACTTACATTGGGAACCACACAACTGGTGAGAGCCTGTCGGGTGACTCCGCGTGGATACTCTTCGTAGTGAAGAGAGCAGTAGAAGACAAAAGGCTTTTCTGGTGTCTTTGCTAATACATTGATCTCCCTCCGCTGTTTGCATCCTAACTAAAAGGCAAAATTCGCATAAATGAGCCTTCTAGCTGGTCGCTCCAAATACTAACGAACTTTAAGCGAGTAAATTATTCAAATTATGTGCTTAAGAAAACTCATTTGCATGGAAAAAGAAAAATAAATGAACAAGACGAACACATGCAATGCATGCAAGCAGAGAAAGGAAGGCGAAATTCCAACAAACTTACCGAATCCTGACAATAAGCAGAAGTCTGTGGCAAAGGCGGTACAGAGTAGGCGTCAATCAGAGTCAGTGTCTTACCATCCAGCTTGACAAGCGTAGCCCTATTGGGAGAATGCGAAAGAAAACGGTGGCCTAACAGTCCAAAGCCTGTAAGAGACCGATATTTCCATATCCACTTACTCCTTTGCAACAGCGTAGAGCGAATTCTCGCTTGAGGCGTAGAGTAGGGCGCAGAATTCCACATGCATTCGGTCACTGTAGGTCCTGGCTATCTCGGATGCTACAAGGTCTACGGACACAAAAGCCCCCACTAAAGCCCTGAAACCTTCAGAATGTTTTGAACCGATTTAAGCAATATGAATGGGTTTTTGCTGTTTTCAGACAGCTATATTAACGATTTTTAAATGAAAGTCAATAAGAAGCTAGCGGACGATTTATAAATCTTGAAAACAAGCATGCTCCAATCTAGTGGATATATTTGGATATATTTTAAACCATTCTATGAGAAATTTGAGAATTGACAGTTTAGTCGAATGCGTAGCACACAGTGTTGTGCATGCAAATGCATCCAGAATGTAGGTAACAATTTACCACCCAAAAGTGCTTCTTTTTAACAATAATGTAAGCAGAGATGGTCCAAATTTAAAAGTTAGTAAATGCCTGTTAGGCAAAATAGATAACATTAAAGGACAATCAAGTAAAGTTGAGAAATCCCTGGGATATTTCTCCTCATTCACACGAATAAATGAATTATTCAAAAGCCCCATTTTTGGCTGTTTTGCGTTATCAAGGTAACACGTAGCAGAAAAGATTCGTCAGCAATTTTAAAATTGCTGCAACATAAAGTTGTTAGCAAGGCTTCTGGTATTCCCCTTGGCGTGGGTGCCGGTCATGCCAAAATTTCCGACCACTGTGCCATTTCTGCAAATATATGCATTTAACCAAAGTGCTATGACTCC